CAATATGACAATAGGGCTGTATTTCAGCAGAAGAGGTTGGTAATTCAGAAATGATTCAAGGAAATATGATATTAAGTGTCCCTGGCAACGTAGCACAGCCAGTTGTTATTCAGAATAGAATTGGGCCGGCCTGAATGAATCACTTTGCTTGAAAATAAAGACTCCTTAAGCAATCCTCTTATCTTGCTTCATCCGTTTTGTAATAATTCAATAATAATACGCGAAGAATAGTAATTAACACATTATCTACCGACAGTTATTAAATACCCTATTGAAGATTCACAATCAATGTATAAGAATTTCCTAACAAATATTTCAGTAGCAATGGCAACTGCAATCTTGATTCAACAAATCATATCACATAATCTATGTAACATAATCTAATCACTTTCCTTTGGGATTGTTATTAAAACCAATTTATTCAACTGCTTTTTGATATAAGACAGTCATTAAAAAGCCTATTAATAATCACTCAGTAAATAAACTGTTAAGATTCGCGGTGCAAAGGACGGGATAGACTGAAATAAGTGGATAGAAAAGATCTTAACCGAAGAGAAGTTCTTACGCGGTTGTGGACACGGTATATCACGGTTTCGTTTTACTTCGCGGTGGTTAGGTGAAACAAGATTTAGTGACGATAACCTCAGGGTGTTATGTTTTATGTGGTTGCACGTGTGCGAAGGAGTACAATGGAGAAACGCCGGGTACAACGATATCCGTGTAACAAATCGTGATGAACTGTCGATCGAATTTCGGATCGTGGAATGCGATTTTCCAAAACAATGTGTACAGAGTGACCTAAAAACAACGTAAAAAAGTATTCGCGTGACCTATGACCATAAAAATAAAAAAGATAAGTGCACGAATCAATTCCACAAATTCGTTTTTCAGTATATAGCAGTCGTAATAAATAGAAAATTTAAGAAGTAAATTTTAACTTGAGATGTAATAATAATTTAATTAATTGAAGTTTTAATTAATTTTATTTAATAGATTGAAATATTTGTTTATTGCTATTACAAGCTACGGATTCTTAACTTTATTGGAAAAAAAATATTTATTCTCTTCATAAATACAAACACAGTAGGTTAAAGTTATTGCAAATTTCAACATGTAATTAAAATATAATTTTACTGTACATGTTTCAAAAATAAGATTAACAAATTTGGAAGCACTACATCACAGAGAAAGTAGAAAATTATACATTAATTCAAAGTTTTCTGTGAAGCGATGCACAAGATTAATTAAGGAATAGTGTATTTCAATGTAAACAACAATTAAAGGTGTAACAGCTATAATAAAAACGTGGTTTATTTAATTTTGATAGTATTTAAAAATCAATAAACCGTTAATAGGAAGAAGCAACGAAGTCTGCCGTCAAATTTCATCGAGTTAGTCTTATCATTAGTCACAAGTTTTCAGTGTGAATTAGAGTCAATTACACGGCCGCGAGTAATCCTGCGCAAACCGAGTATCCATTAATCGAGTTAGCCACAACTTCAAACTCGGTGAGCAGTAAAGTTCGCCTACCATTAAAATCAAGAGCGATTTAATTTCTCGGAGCTCGACTGGCTCGAATATACTCCCCTTTTTTTCGTCTGGTAAATGCATTCGTTCGTCAATTCGATTCTTTGCTCGACTTCGATTCCTTCGATTACAAAGTGGTTCGAAGATTCGTTCATTAAATGTCCAATTACTTGCTTGAATTAATGTATCCAATATTTTCTCAAACTTTTATTATTTTAAAACATCCTTCAATATAAACTTTATTTTGGATCGTCTTGTGACAAACAACAATCTTCAGGCAAAAGCGTTTCCGAAATTTCAACGTTTGCTTCGGGAAGAGTAGAACTATATGTTTTATTGTAATGAATAAATTCGATGATTGATCATTTTCAAATGACTTTTGATATAATAATTTTTATACTAAGTTTCCGTATTTATTTATTTGATGTCAACAAGTGTACTACCACTATGTAATGAAATATTATTATTACGTTGAAAAATTAACATTAATAAATAATTTCGAGTACATCAAGATATCCTCAGTAATAATTGGTTGATTAAAGTAACGAACTGTGAGCTTGTAACTTTAAAGAGTTCCAATACGATAAAAGAGTAGGAAGAACCTGTTGTTGATTATTATACATACGTAATCTGGCATTGCAAGTAATCAACTCGTTAGAGTACCTCTCGTAAATACACTGGATGCCCAAAAAGTTTGTTTAATGTGAAAGACTTACCTAAAACAGAAAAAAGAAACAATTATTAATTATAGAATTCATGACATAGGCATACTATCTATTTAATTGTAATGAAAAGTGTTTATACTTATATACTTTTCTTAAATGACTTTGTGGATTTACTGGATTATATAATGAAACTTTTTTAAACAAATATTATTAGTCAAAATTCAAACAATTTATATAAGTAAATATATATCAATCAATCAAATAATCAATTTCATACAAATTTTTGTTTAAACGATAACCATACTGAACTCCTTGAACCTACTTTCGATATCAATATTCATTTAATTTAATCATTAATGCTTTTCCCTTTCAATCCAAAAATATCGCAGATGAAATAAAATATTTTTATCGAAAATTTGCTTATAAATCGCTGTTGATCCTATTTATGAATATTCATATTGAAACGACAGCCTTTAATTCGATTTATAAAATCATAAAATATATTTATTAACAATAGTATAGATACATATACATAAATACAGCGATGTTTATAATTATCAGATCGAATTCCAATTAAACGTTCAAAAAAGAGAAAATATTATTTACAGGCTGGACTACAAATTATAAGTATTTGGTCACAAAATTGATACTTTCTCGTGTAAACGTCATTTATCAATATGTTTGCCGTTTCATCGAATCACGCCTTCGAAAAATTGTCAGAGTTCATCGAAATAATATCATTAACGTTCTTCGCTGATATTTTATTAGCCGCGTTTTGTAATTTCTTCTGTTATATGAATCCTCCTTCCCATGTGGGAAGTATACTTTTTGCCTTGCTATGTAACTTGTCCCATAAAAGTTTATTTCTAGACCGCGGTAGTTTATGCAAGTGTACATATTTATAGAGAAACTTAAAGGAATTGATATTAAATAAAATTCAATTCCTTTCACGAACGATTCTAGTAAATTAATAATAAACCGAAACGATATTGAATGATAGTAAAGTTTGCGTTTTATTAATTTTCTGATGGTTCTCGTGCGCTATAAATTGAAGAAGTTCCGCATTCTATTTATTAATGTTAAGGGTCCATTTTGGTAAAAGAAAGACAGCAATTTAAAAAATTTTTAATTTTTCGTAAACGCGATGCTTTTAACGGGGTACTGTTCCTTTCTCTTATAAAACAGAGTATCAGGAAAAATATATTGAATTCCTTTATTAAAATTTTACAAGTTTTTCGAGGGATGAACTATTTTTAACCCTTTACCTTATGATATCGTATCGAACTCGTGTCGAAAATATTAAACTGAATTTGATAAATCATAATTTTATTTACTTTTGTAAAAATATAAATTACATATTGCTTTTCTATTATCAATCGTTAACCTTCGCATTAAACGTAGGTATGGAATAAATATCATATTATTTTGCTTTCCTAGTAAATTATTAACGACAAAGTGGTTCTGTCATTTGCAGTTGCGAAATCAATCATAAGACAAGTAGGAATTTTAGTAGTTACAATATGTCATTACGCGACAAGTCGTCTTTACAAAATGAAAGTAAAATTCAGGAAAAAAATGTCGTCAACCTCCTATACATTACACCATACGCTACAATTTTAGGTGAAAGCGCACGTAAAATGAATTTAATTTTCTTTACGCAACGTACAAAATGTTGAGCGTTACAAATATGCGACGTTGATCAAGAAGGTACTAATCCTTTGCGGTCGAATGTCACTGTAATGATAACTCCAAACTTTAATATCCAAAATCCAAAACTGCAAAGGACTACTTTAATTTATTATCCGAATAATGAGAGATTGATACGTGGTTTCTTCCTTTCTTAGTATTTAGGACTTCGATGCATAATTCGATCTTTCATAGAAAGAGTTTTTACAAGTTCGAAAAGTTCTCGACTGCAAAAGGTTAGTAAATTTTTCTAAATATCTACAGCTTTATACTTCATTTTCTTCCCCGACAAATTTGAAGCTTTTCAATTAACACGTTGGCTGCCACGATAATTTCGGATAATACTTCCACAAGAAAAGTAAACGGCATTAGAAATAATTATTAATGATTTGATATTACAGTATACGTATCGTACTATTATCTAGCTACGTATATTACTAAATATTTGTATTCAACTTCAATTTTTTTGTTTTAATTGCTGTCAAGCAATTTGAAAGTTCGGAGACCACAGTGGCAGCCAACCTGTTAACCAGCTAACTGCATTTGTCGAGTATGCCACGTCATTTTAAAACGGAAAATGGTACCAACTTTTTCAACGATGAATTATTTAGTTTTTTCAGATAAACGTGTAGTTCTTCTTTGTTTCACTGTAGTTTTTCGTTAGAATATATAATAGATGCATTTGCCCTGCGTTTGAGGGGTATACTCTTTATTATTTGATTTTATTGCGCGCACTATGAGAGATTGTTCAAACTAAATTCCACAGTTAACTGGTAACTGACTTCTATTTACCTCGAAGCAGACGCTACAGTCGTCTTTCGACATAGCTGTAATAATTATGAACGGCACTGTACATCGGGTATAGCGCAGCGGGCTGTACTCGCGACTCCCGAGCCGCTATTTGCGTCGTGCCAGGCTGCGTTTGCGATCTATTATGTATCAACTTCAGATGTGTATATCACCGTTGGCTACAGGACAATGATAGATCAATGCGACACGCTCGGATTAATGGGCCGCACGCTTACACGTGTACATAGCCAGGCGTTATCAGCCGCTCGTATTTTCCCCTCAAGCTCCCTTCCTGTTATCGCAAAGCGCGACAACCGTGTTTCTACGCCGAAAGCCGGGTTTCGCTCCGGCAGAAGTACTTATATACTACTTCGTGTTCTTTCATTTTGTCGGATGTGTAATTTTATTCGAGGTATGTTTAACGCTAACTAGTTTTCGGTTTTATCTCGTGAGATAGACAAGATTGTCCGTGCAGTGTGATTTATACCGTAAATATGTTACGACGACGGTGGATAAAGGTATTGCACGAATAAGGATTCGTGAAAGTTTATTTTCTTGCGCGAATCTTCATTCGTAGTATTTCACTTGTTTATATGATTTGTGTTTGATTTGAATTATTTGAAAGGCAAAGCTGTTTGTTAATGGTAAATGTATTGACACTTTATATACACCTATTTCTATTGTAACTGGTTGAATGACTGGTTATAAGATAAACTTAGACAAATTGAACAATCAATTTTCCTTAGTGAGAACGGATTGAAAGGGAAGACGAAAATTGAGAAACTGATTTTTCGAATGATATCAGAATTAATGTACAGTCAATGGATGGATGAGAATGTAGAATTTTGAATTGAATTATAAAATGGTCATTTGGCCGGTATGTTTAATATTAAATATACGTGATTAATTAGATGTAACTTGGATGAATGTATTAGCATGTTTTAAATAACGTTTTAATATCAAATAACAATTTTACATCTGATGATCAGTTGACATAAGTGTTTATTCCCAAGGAAACTTCCCTAGGCCTAACAATTATCGGTGAGTTAACAGAACTGTTCATTTTCAAGAAATCTCCCCCAGCCTTGCAATTATAGGTGAGTTAAAAGAAACCTTCATTTTCAAGGAATTTTCCCCCGGGCTAATAATCATCAGCTGAGAACACAAAAAAATCAACGAGTAGATGTATGCTGATATAACATGATTGCGTGAAAATGAACTTGCATGTAAAGTATACAAGGAGAAAGCGAGAAAAAGGGGGGGAGAGAGAGAGAGGGAGAGAGGAAAGAAATACACGAGAAATCGAAAGAAAAGAGAGAAAAATTAAAAATCGAGATGACAAAGTGAAAAATTAAAACCCTGAAAAACCAAGAGAAAACGAAAAATGGATGAATGAAAATAGGAAAAGAGAATGGAAAACAGTGAAAAAGAGAGAAAGATGAGACGGGAGAAGAAATACGAGACGAAAGGGATAGAGAAAGAGAAAGAGGTAGACGAATCGAGAGAAAAAGAAAGAGAGAGGACGAAAGGTAGAAATAAAGAGAGAGATCTGAACGCGGTTCGAACCACTCCTCCCCTCATAAATGTTTGAGTGGCCGGCGAAGTGCGGAGTGGTATCGGGCTCCCTCCAACAGCCTTCCGTTCCGTATCCACTAACTGAATTAACCGGTCGACGGTATACCGTTGCGACGGCGTATATAACGCGCGCCTAGGAACACGCGTGCAGAACTCTCGCGATCTCCCTCTCTCGCTCTCTCTCTCTTCTTTCTCTCTCTATCTCTCTCTTTCTCTTTCTCTCCCTCTCTCTGCGGATCTGCTCCGCGCGAGTTGCGCGCATATCCTGCATATGAACGCCGATCCTCCGGCCGCAATATATTACCCAGAGCGATGTCCCGTGCAATTTACGTACGATTATGCAGATGCGCCCGAACGCTCGCTCGCTCGCCCACGTTCCGCACTCCGGGACGAAAGAATGACGAGGAAAGAGGGAGGCAGAAGCAGACGAAGGGGTTTGCGGGAGGGGGCGAGCCGAAGGAGAGAGAAAGTTGGAGAAATGGAGAGGTTATGGGGGTTTGGAGACCAACAGACGACACGGAAGAGAGTGGAGAGAAAAAAGTGAGGAAAGGAAGGGCAGGAAAAAGAGAAAATGAGAGAAAATGAAAGAGGAATAAGAGAGGAAAGATAAAGAGAAGCGAGGAAAGAGAATGTAGAGGAGGTGGAAGAGAAATGAGAGAGTAGAGAGAATAAGGAGAAAAGAGGGGAAAGAAAGAGAGAAAAAGGGTAGAGGAGAAAGTAAAAGGGAATAAGGGGAGAGAAGCAAGGTGAAAGAGGAGAAAGAAGAGAACAGAGAACAGAGGAAAGGGAAAAAAAGATAAAGATAGAAAAGAGAAAAAAAGAGAAAGAGAAAAAACATAAGCTACCGAGCTTTACCATTGCTAACACCGTTTTCCAACTTCACGATACCATGTGCTTTGAGCAATTCCGATTTAAAGATAAAGCCGATAAGAAATCGTATCCGCGTGTCGTATATATCAGCGATTACAGTAAAACATTCGATGAAAACATTGATTCCCATGATTGAGTAACATTCACGGACCGTTCACTGGGCTAAAAGTATTTATAGCAAATATATCTGAAATACTGGTAAACACTGAACGCACCGACTGAGTCGTCAAAGTAACCGATTTTGAATCGAGCTTTGGCGCTGCTTTTCATGTACAGTATTTAAATCTACAAATTAACTGATCGTTCACATTAAATAATATATGAGAACGTTCAAACTTCCCTTAAGACAGAAAATTCGTAGCTAAATAAATAATGTTACTTTAGCTACGATCCATTTAACTTCAATTCCCTTTCAAAGCAACAGAATTTCATCAACTGAACATTCTTCAATCGTGTATGTTTCAGTGAACCAAATCGTAGATATCAATAGCGCACTAATTTGATAGAGCCCCGATTCCTACATAAGTAAAATGGAATAGCCGGTACATAGGCATGGCCAGAAGCACGACACGATAAACCGCCGAACGGCCTCGTGTATTTTCGTTGGTTCTTTATGCGAGTGGCTCGCGCCTTCCTGTTGTCCATCATTTTTCGCACAAAGTATCCGGCCAGGGGTTTCCTGGGCACACGTCGCGTCGCGTCGCCTCGACGGACGCGGCCGCGAGTGATTTATTATGCGCGAGACGCGGCTGCGCGCGAACCGGGCATAAAGACGAGCCGCATCGCTTTATTTCATTTTATGGCCACCCTTTGCCTGTTGCGACTTTATTGCGAAATTCATTTACGGTGCGCCCGGCCCATCCGAAAGACCCTTGGACTACCTGAAAGGGCGTAAAAGCCGCGATAATTGAAGTCCTGCCATGCTACACGACCCTGTTAACTCTTCCCTTGTAGAGTTTATTAGAGTACAAGGGAAATTCAAACACCGTGTCATTGACGCCGCGACTTCTGCGCCGATTTACGAGCCGCGCGCGATTGTCTCGAGCCGATTCGTAATGACTTGCGACGAAATTACGTCGCGGATAGAACGTTGTTCATCTTTTGGAGTTAGGTTGTTTGCCATGTTTGTCAAGTTTAATCATCTCGTTAGATTACAATTTGGGAAATGTGCATTTTTGAAGAGGTTTGTATTTGTAATATAATTGTATCGATAATAATGTTTAAGAAGAATAGATAGCGCAGCTTTTCATGGTGGATGATGGTAAACAATTTATTTTAACAGCTAGTATTCGAATAGAATTTTTTTTAACAATTTTCTTTATTTTCAACAATTTTAGAATATTCTAATATCTTGCTGTTTAAAGTATTACCTATTCTTTTAAGGATGTTGATTGATAAATAAAATTTGTGCATCCAATTTTAATTGTATGTTCCTCAATTTGTTTATTTGCCGACATAACTTTTTTTTTAAGCAATGGAACCTAGCACAAACTTTGTTTTAATCTCTGTTATGAAAAATGAAAATATAAAAATATAACTCCGCGCGATAAGTCGGTTTAAATTCGGTTATATGTAAGTACTCACTGAACGAAAGTGATGAAGAATAGATACAGTGTGTGCCCTGCAACTACCGGACTTATGCGGAATGCTCTGGAGCTGAAATTAATATATCTGCGTGTAATGTTTTGTCAAGAATTACGTCATAATTACATATCAATTAGACAATTTAAAACTTCTCGTCTCCGTTACCTTCATTTTAAAAATAACCATTAAATATCCTAAACAATAATTTCATCATTTCAAAATCTCTCATTAATAAAGAAACATGTCGAAATAACATTCGTCAATTTCGATGAAAATTTAAAAGAAATCTGTTTCCTAAAAATATTTCACTCTTTTTCATCGGCCATCGTCCATATTTAAATTCCGAGGCTATTAAACGTACTTCAATAAAGCACATATTCCATCCTCTAAACAATTTACAATGCGCGCGTGAAAATTTTTCTGCATAATTACTCTACTACTCGGAAACAAATAATATCGCCACCGAAACATGAACATGTCGCAACGCCGCTGCATAATAACGAGCCAAATTTAAAAGCTAAAAATCCGCGATGCAAAAATATGGTACTTTTCGCTTCGCAGATTTCCCCGAACGCGGTGAACTTTCATTCGTTACTTTAGAACCGCCAATTATGTTTATGCCGTCGGGGATCGAAACGATAACGCGTTTCCGTATGCATTTATCCAATTATGCGAAGCATGGGACACGAGCAATCAAAAAATAAGTACGGTCAGATGAATGAAAATGTATGTGGCTCAGATAAGCAAACAAGCCGTGTGTCACACACAGAAGTTGTTTAGCGTCTCGGCGAGCTTTTCGCGCAGCCACTCGACGCGGTAACGAGCACGTTCCACTCGTTATCGCAGCGGCAGTTCCCCTGATAAAGTAATATACCTGTTTA